ATGACTTGGAAGGTGTGGAGCTAAACCCAGGAGAACGACTCCTTGACTTTGAGTGTGCAGACGACATTGCCCTCATCTGTGACAGCTCCCAGACGTGTCAAGCCGCGCTGGACAGATTAGCACTGGCTGTCAGTCGCTTCGGGCTTTGCTTTGCACCACCGAAGTGCAAAGCGTTCCTCCAGGATTGGCAGGGTTCGCCCCCTGTGCTGACCCTTGGTGAGGATCAGCTAGAAGTCGTTCAGAAATTCAATTACCTGGGAACTTGTATCAGCGCCCTTGGGATCGAAGACAAGATCACGAACCGTATAGCGATAGCTCGAAGTGCTTTTGCTAACCTTCGCCACCTATGGCGACGTAGCGACATTACTCTCGCCCTGAAGGGTAGAGTGTACAATGCAGCGGTACGTTCGACCTTACTGTACGGTTACGAAACCTGGCCCCTAAGATCGGCGGACATGAAGAGGCTACTTAGGTTCGATCATCGGTGCCTTCGCAGTTTGGCTCACATCTGGTGGGAACACCGCGTGAGTAACGAGCGTGTTCGACGCCTTGTTTACGGCCTAGGAAAAGGGAATGAACCGCTCAGCACCATCATTTCACTCACCAGGCTCCGATGGCTGGGCCACGTGTTGCGCATGCCAGCCCACCGACTCCCTCGACGTGCGTAGTTTGCTCACCGGGGATGTGGGTGGAAGAAGAGGAGAGGTGGCCAAGCGATGACTTGGTCCAGAGGAATGTAGGCCCTCAATTCGGAGCTGGCCTCAGTTGGAGCTTCACGGCTCCCTGGTTGGGGTCCAAAAACGGTGAACACGTTTGGCTGGATACACTTGCTGATAAGGCAAGGAGTCGACCTCAGTGGCGTTCCTGCTGTGAGTTTCTTTGTCCCTACCCATCCCTTTAGCCTCCCCCTCCACCTACGATCTTATCTCATAGCGTAAAACATAATAATTTTTGTTTTTGCCTAGTAGCCGGCTGGTAGCTTACCGGAACGATGCCTATCCGTTGCTGGTAGCTCAGCTGGCATTCAACTGTCGTATTTATTTTTCCTTTACGTATTGTATGTATGTATGTATTTCCTTTATGTATTGCGGTACAATAGCGGAGGTGTTTTACCATCTCTAGCTGACATGTATAATGTTGATGATGATGAATGAATCCATTGCTAAGGCAAAATTGGCTTTATGCTGTAGGCTGCCTTAGTGGAATTATTTTTGTGGGGATTGCGATTCGATTGGCGATTCATGGACTTTGGCCACCTCTTGTATGTCTGCGTGGGTAGCGAAACATCGCAAATGTTCGGCCGTACATGTTTTGAGGAGATCTATTTCCACAACGTTATCCGAAGTCCATTTGGTATCGTCTTCTGAAGGTTGGTTTTCAAGAATTCAGCTATTTCGGATACCAGCAATCAACTGATTCATTAGCATGACGCACTCGATTTTATTTTTCGCCATGTTTGGGTGCGCGTATTGTCGTACACCACGAATGAGACGATCAACAAAGCTGTCTAAATTTCCGATGGTTCCTGTGTAAGTCTACCAAATTTGAGTCGAGCCATGAAGAGGTTTGTACGCTGGCCGCATGACTTATCTACCACATCTAGTGATTGCGTTAAGGTGTCTTGAGACTGGAGCTCCAAAGCATTAAATTGAAGTTGTATTTCTTCACAGAGTAAGTGTCTGAGAAGCTTCAGTTTTGCCTTCTGTGTAGTGAGAAGCCGCAGGAGTATGTCAAGGTATTTTTCAAACGACATCCCACTGGTCTAACGGTTCAGACTAGTAAACTGTAGGAGGAAGTGATTGTAATTTCGTGGCGTAGCTTCGTAAGCCTCGAAGCCAGTGTTTTATACTGATGGGAGTAAACACGGGCCGTAGAAATATATATATATATATATATCAGTCTACGAATTGAGAAAGAGCCATCAAAAACCATGGGAACCAAAGTAGTGTACAGCTGTTATAATAAGAGATCGGAAAACTGCTCAGATGTACCCATGTTTTCGTTAGGAAGCGACGTGCTACTCGGTTGTTCAAGCCGAACTGCGGTCTTGACTTAGGGGACACCACCCAGTGCCTTTGGCAAAATAGTCTTCCCGCAAGGCAGCGGGGCAAGCCGGAGTAAGTAAGACCGTTCGATAACAAATTATTGTAATCAAACACCTGCCTGACTAGAGTGAGTAAAGTTTGGAAGACAGCTAAATTGTGAACCAATAGTAAAGCAGTTAAGCAGGTACGTGTATGTGTGCGTCTGGGTTATGTGCACGTAAGCATTGTGTGTCTAGACCAGCGCCCACGGCGTCGCCAAAAACATAGAATATATACGAAACACGGGATACCAGAGCAACAATTCTCACACTGACCACGCCACAACCAGGACTGGGCCACGTTTCCTCTACTACCGCGGACGTCCTGAAGTGAATGATGTCACTGCGTGTGCACAGTTCTCCTGGTGCGGACAATTCACACCTAAGGCTATTTTAAGCGACGGCCAGCAGCTTGGTTCTGCCGTTGTCCCATTTCTTCTAACATTGTCTAGACAATCTGCAGGTCTCGGTCCTGTGGATGAATGGAGTAGTCACACCCATTTACAAAAGAGGCACAAGCGATGAACTGACAAACTACTGCAGAAAAGCTCTTCTCTCAGGTTGCGAAATACCGTCATGTACCCTGGTACAGATTCGCAGTTTAACAAGTTACTGCCAAACACCTTACTATGAAACTAAAAGGGTTCCAACGAATAAACTTAACTTAATGGAAGTTAGAACCAAACAAGGACAAACGCGCAAGGGAACATAACCAGAAACTTATGGTCTTCAACCTTTGAGCTATGTGTAGAACCGTTCGAAAACTCGTAAATTCAAAAGGGTAGGAAAATGAATGCTCGTTATTTTTTCCGGACAAAGTTTCGGTTTTGACACAACAGCCTCGTCAACCCAAGTGAACCAACGGATGGTGGGTGCAGCAAGTATGGTGAACTTATATGGTAATCGCGGAGACCGAAGTGTAATTAGGGCGGAAAACGTGTTATAACTCAAAGGTTAACTCCTAGTGGCGCATTAAAACAAAAAGGTCGCAAGTAGTTCAGGTCACGAGCTCATCACTCCTAAGCCCCTGCCAGCGCTGAGCTTGTGGGTGGTTAGTTGTTAATTCTCACTGTCTTGAGACGCTTTCGTGTCAAAAACGAAACGCGGACAGGCAAATGCACGAACCGATTGTCTCCAACACTTTCTTTACAGTTAGCGTCATTAGTTTAAAAGCCGAGAGCTAGCAATGATGAACTTGGAACAAAGTCCTTTGTCTTTAAGCTTACCTTTTGCTAGGATGTGTCTGTATCCACTGTTGCTGCCAATCCGACATCGAATCATACTGAAGCCAAAACAAGTGATCTTGTCAGTTTCTTCTTGTCTTTTCACCACGTCATTAGTGTTTAAAAAGACAGAACAGCCGCTGATGTCCGAAGGACTCAGTTTATCCGACTTTCAAGACTCAATCCAAAGAGATACTCCAGGGTGGCACTGGAGAGTATGTTTCTTATGCGAGTAGGTTAAGTTCCGCATTACTCATTAGATTATCTCCTTAGGGGTCCGCAATGCACCACAATAACTGGAGATCAAATACGACCGATCCCTTTATGTCTGTCTATTGCTGTGTCTGTGGCTACTGTTCAAAACTTGACCCTGGCTCCTCTACCGGATTGTGTAACCTGCGATTGCTGTTAACCCGATATCCCGTCAGCTTCATGGTGTTTAAAAGTATGAACTTTCACGCTCTGCAAACCAATGTGATGAACGTAGCGCAGAATTTGGCAATATATATATCGCGTACATGAATGAGCAAACCGACCTATAACCCACAGTGTTTTCGCGAGTATTGTGAGAATCGATGGCTCTCTGGTACAACCGTAGGCCACCGCTTCGCAATAAAATAGCTTGATGCATGTGCGAATAGCAAAGCGGAGAGTAACCGCATATCAGGGAGCGCCTGTGTTTCACTTGGAATAGGTACCAGATGATATCCACATGCGAACCCGCCTGAGTTCCGTGGTGATAGTTTTAACTTCCTCAATTCTCTGCGTCTAATTACTGCTGAATTGAAACTACGGATAAGCGAAGAGAAGATGGAGTTCTTACCAGGACGGAGCTGCATGAACTAAAGATCGTTACGCAGTGGGTGTTGAAGCAGAGGCAAGCTAATCGCATGCCTGTCGTGGATGTGTATCTCAACCTCAAGGATGTGTCCGACGCGATTGAACCATCCCTTCGATCGACTTGCGAGCGAAGGATTGAGTTCTCTTTAAATGTGAACACCTTCCACGGATTGTGTACCCAACTGGACAGTGGCATCAGGGTATACGGAAAATTGGCAAAAGCCTCTCTGCAACCGACGACAGTGCATCAGGGTTGTCCATTCCACCAGTGTTTCACAACTTCATTGTGGCATCCTTCTCGGAGTACCCCATGTGTGACCCTACGATGCAGGCATTCGCAATACAACAAATACTAACACAAAGACTCCCATGGTGCGGGCCGTTTGCATGACGGGAGTCTTGAAGGGAAAAGGGATAAGACGCTGGCTGATAAGGTGGGCAAGTGGTCTGAAGGATCTCACTTTGTACTTGACGTAAGCTTTTACCTACACCCTACTAACATATGGTCGCGAAATCTTAACCAATACGTAATAGTTAGATGACCTCATAAAGAGATCTTATGCATCTTTCAGTACCTAGTGCCCTAATCATCCAAACAACAAGGATTATTCCGAAACATACGCCCTTCAACCTGACAGTTCAATATAGAGACAACACCATACACAGTGGTAGAATCGGCTCTTTGCACAGCGGGCTCCTTCCCAGTGGATTCTATGGATTCCAAACAGCAAATTATTAGGTGCGCAAAATACTCTTTCAAGCAATCCCAATATTGTACCATGGGGTTCTGCAAGTTATATCCGATCATTTCGATTATCCTTGATTAACACCGTGTTCCTCCCCCCTCATTTTAGCGTTCCTGCTCCTCCATGCACACGGAACCACCATTACTTACCACACAGTGTTTAAGTCAAAACAATGCGTGCCAAGCTGAAGACGCAGAATTGCATGCGACTACCAGTGAAGAACTGTCATCTATTGACAGTGCTATACTTGGTTTGGACCGACCACAGTCTTTTCTGGCGGTGGACTCATTTTTCCGAGGAATTTTTATCGACCCTGGACCCAGTTTGCTTCCTGACTGTCTGAAATACGCCATCCATGAGTTATACCGTGCACTGCGTCATGCATTCCCACTGGATCCGGAGAAGACGCACTTGAAGGTGAGGTGATCCAGATGTTAGAAATGGACACAGACTCATTTTGTTGCGTCACATATTGCTGTCATGTGAACTATCATACCCTCACTACTTGTCAGTAGCCATAGCCGATGCGGTGTTTGTACGACAGCCGTCAGGATGTCACATTGCAGGTGCTCCAGTCAGCAAGGTGAAAAGACCACGCCATATTTTTCGTAATTGCTACTAGTTACTGCGAACAATAATAAACGTAAACAAGTCTTCCACACACTAGTTTCGAATGCAATGCGCCACTTATACACCCGACTGACATTTACTATATATATATATATATATATATATATATATATATATATATATATATATATATATATATATATATATATATATATATATATATATACTGTACATCTGGACAAGGTTTATAAGCGGTGATTTTGTCCGCCAAGCTAAATCCCTTCCTTCGCTGCCTTCTAAGACATATGTTGCCACAGCTAGCTCATAACACACCAACGGAATACGGTGACTCATCTGGTGTCACACTTCTCCAGCAAACCTTGTCTCCATCCCGTTGGAGCAGCGAACCACTCCCTAGCAGGTTACGCTGTATTACGACAGCCATCCATCCACATTGCGCCAATGATCTCAACCATTAATTCGAAAATGCGGGGTACGGGGTTCCAGGCCCCCAAAGACCAGCTGAATTATTCACTATTGATGAGTTTGGGACCAATGAAACAGTGGAGGACATATGGCTGAGCGTAGCCGTAACGTAAATACTTCGAAATTTAAGCTAACTCCCTCCTCTCACAGCACTCTGAACATCCACCCTTAGTTCAATGTGAGTCACAATCGACGGCACTTATCTAGCACATGTGGATGGCTTTGCATTCTGGAAGGGGAGTAAGTGAAGGTATCAAGTGACCTGAAAACTTATTACCAAATAGTGATGATCTAATTTTAGATAAACATTGCTCGCTGCTTGCGATGATTGACCTTGCTTTTACTTGCACCGTTCTGAGAGAACTAGAAACAATTAGGTATCAAACTCAGTTCGCAACCGAACCGTTAATCTCATGGATTGCAAAACTCAATGTTAATTTGGTTAGCAATATACATTAAAGCGAATTGTTCGTTTGACTCCCCAGGACCGCACCCGACGCGTCAGCTCCGAGTCTCCAGCCTCAAAAAATGCACAGAAACGCGAAATTGATGGTAGAGTGCCGTGCTGTGGATCGCTAGCAGCTAACATTTATTCACCTCAGATAGTTCTATGTAACTGAAGTGCGGCAGGTCTACTTGAACATCAAATTACTTCAAATTTGTTTCGAGCGCCATAATCCATGCAAGGTGGGTACTTCAAGTCAAACGATGGTGGTACTTTGATGTGTTTTCTTCTACCAAAAATGTCGAGCAAAAGACTTTTTATATCTGTGAGATCTTTGCTGGGGTTAAGATACATAATTCTAAAGAACACAATTAGGCAGGATTTTGGACTACTTCGTTCTATTAAAGCATGGTGAGCAAAACATGGTGAGCGAAACAAGGGCACATGTCTACTAGCCGTGATTTACCGCCCGCCAAACTGAACTTCGGAAATGGACTCCAAACTGAACCACGTTTTCCAGTTTGCTTTGAACAAGTCCTACACCCACATTCTTATCGCTGGAGACTTTAACGTGCATGACATAGAAACGCCGGCAACCGATGGTATGCAGTTTAAAGCCCGCTTGCAAGAGCTTATTGCTAGCCACCCTCTTTACAACCACGTAACCTCTCCCACTAGATTTCGAACTGCTAACAAGCCGTCGATACTGGATCTTGTGCTAACTAACGAAGAACTCATGGTTGACGGGATAGTTACAAGCACACCACTGGGTCGTAGTGATCATGTCACTCTACTCTTTGACTATATTTGCTATGCGGAGTACCCTGAAAAAGAGGAGGATAAAGTGCATACTGTCACACACTACAATGTGTTGTCTAAGCTTGTTAAGGATACATCCTGGACTTTCTTAACCGAATGTCCCCCAGATGTTGCCTGGGAAACATTTACAGGGACGTTTAGTACACTGGTAGCGCACGCATCAGAGGAGAACTCCTTCCAACCTAAAAAACAAGCGTAATTCATTTCTGAGGAGCAGGACACGTAAATATATGTCCCTGAGGGATTTGGCATGGCGAGATCACCGGGACTGCCCGAATGCCGAAACCTGGACTGCATACGTGACCCATCGTAACTTCTGTGTGAAACTGATCCGTGAAGACAAGGTCACTCATCAGCAGAAGTTAATGAAGCGCTTCTGTACGAACCGCAAACTCCTGTACAGGCACGTTAACGGCCTCCGAAAGGTAAAGCGGGGGATTCCAACACTAGTCACGGCTGATGGGTGCACGCGATCAGCAATGGAAGCAGCTGATCTCCTACGGCTTCACTACTCCAAAACTTTCCAGGAGGTAACGAGCACGAACATTCTCCTCATTCCTACTACTCCTTCATCTGGTTTAGAAAACATCACATTCACTGCGGAAGCTGTGTTGAAGAAGTTGTTATCCTTGCGTATCCACAGTTCTCCCGGGGCTGACAATATCCGACCAAAGGCTCTACAGGCAGTAGCTAGTGATCTAGCAGCACCACTGGCTATTTTCTATCAGCGATGTCTAGAGAAGAACCGTATTCCACCAGTATGGAAGGAAGGGGTCATCACTCCTATTCATAAAGGAGGTAGCCGCACTGATCCTGCCAACTACCGCCCAATAACACTACTTCCAGTACTATCCAAAGTGATGGAATCAATCATGGCAGACGCGCTGATGGAATACATGGAAAGCCACAACTTAATAGCCCCAGAGCAACATGGCTTTCGTCACAAGCATTCGTGTAATACTAACCTAATAATTGCACGAAATAGCTGAACTCAGCTGTTGATGATGGAGTAGGAGTCGATGTCATATACCTGGACTGTTCAGAAGCGCGTGATCGATTAGACCATCGAATTTTCCTTCAGAAGCTTCGAAACTACGGCATGGCAGACCCAATCCTGAGTTGGATTGACAATTTTCTACAAGAACGAGGGCTAGTGGTCAAAGTCCGAGAATCATTGTCTGATGCAATCGATGTGGCGTGCGGAGTACCACAAGGCTCGGTTCTTGGACCTCGTCTATTCTTGGTGTTCATTAACGATTTGGCGAGATCAATTACTTCCGATTTTCTATTTTTCGCTGACGATATCAAGATATGGCGAAGGATCAGAGGACCGGATGACCATGAACGGCTCCAGTGCGATCTTAACACAGTGTCGAACTGGTCACTTCAAAACGCCCTACCGTTCAATGTAGACAAATGTCGCGTCGTACAATTACGCCATTGTAATAACTACGCCTATTCACTTGGGACTAACGGACTGCAGAATAGCTCCCAGGAACGTGACCTGGGTGTGATCGTACAGAGCGACCTCAACTGTTCAAAACAGGCTGAGGTTGCTGCGAAAAGAGGCAACCAGCATGTCGGCATGCTGCGAAGAGCATTCGGGAGATTTGACCCATCAATCTTCCCAATGATGCACAATTCCAACGTGCGCCCGCATGTTGAATACGCTATCCAAGCTTGGCAACCTTGGTTGAAGCGTGACCTAGAAGCGATAGAGGCACCGCAACGGAGAGCAACAAAGAATGTGCAGGGTCTGCGCTACCACTCTTATCACCGAAGGCTGAAGTTGTTGGGAATTTTCAGCGGGCGCTATCGAAGACTGCGCGGTGATCTCATATTAGCCTATCAAATATTGAGTGACCCCAATCACGTATGCAGCCATTTGCTGAAACGTAGCCACAACACGCAGCTCAGGGGTAACTGCCTAAAGTTGCAGGAACAATACAGCCGTCTAGAGTGTCGACGGAATTACTTTTCCCTTCGGGTTTGCAAACCTTGGAACGCACTTCCTGACTCAGTTGTATCCTCTCCTACCCTGGATGTTTTCAAAAAACGATTAGATGTCGCTCTTAGCTCCCAACATTTTGTTACCTAAATTCCCCTACTGTGGATTACGCCAAGGATGCATTTCTACAGGCTTTATGTATCAAATGGACCTAAGTGAGCGACCATATTTTACTTTTCTCACTCTTTACCTCAATGATCACTGCACCCCAGTGTCTTTCTGCATGTTTCCGCCCGATAATTTATTTTAATTTTACACTGATGTTGCTTATCAAACTATTCATATCGGCAGACGTTCGATAGATGACCCAGACATATTTTGATTTTATCATATTCACCTCAACCATCCTACGGGACGTGTCAAGCACTTGCTTTTATCCCGTGATAAATCATTGTTCATTGTTCATTGTTCATTCTGTCTGGACCTAGCGTATTGTTTTGCCTGAACTAAAGCATTTCGTAGAGAATATAACTCAAGATCCAATCTATGAAACGGACACAAACCGGATGCATAGTGTTTTTACACATTCGGTTCCCGCACCCACCTAAACGTTCTAGCAGGTGCAAATGTCGTGTAATTTTGCGCAGTAATACCTAACTTATTAACGTTTTTGCTCAGTTGGCTGATGTTTATAGGAAGACAATTGCAAAGTTTTAGTGGCGACGTCACACTTCTTGTCTATCTGGACAATATCAGGAAGACAGCTAGTGGACATTCATTTATTGTGAAGCAGCGTGATAGCTATTCTTTACTCTTCCTATTTTCTATTTTTTGACTGTTGTTTAAACTCTCTACTGGGTTAGCCCGATTGGTACATCCACGTCATTGTTAATGGACGCTCATCGTCATGTCCTTTTCATCAGCGCCATTTGCAAGAACCTGTTCAATTGGTTTTTTCTTCTCATCACTGTTCCACTTGGTTATGTTAAAGGAATATTTAGTTGTCACATGCTTCTTGTACTAGTTTCCAACTTTGGGTCTGCATCCCTTATTCTCGTTTGTTTCGCGACCTTTGTTTAAACCTTTCATTACGTCATTCTGATTGGCCAGTGCCCGTCACTGTAAATGGACGTTCGCTTTACGCTTGGA